GGTTCTCAAGAGCAGGGATTGAAGTTGGCTTTTTCAATGCTGCCTGCCTCTTTGCTCACCAGTTTCTTCATCTTAATAATGGGGGTGATGATAGCATCAACCTTACGGTTGTTATGAAGGTAAACCAAGTGATCTACACGTACGTGTTAAGCTCAGTGCCTAGAACTCGGTAAGAGCCTAGCAAATGCCAGTTATTACCACAGGTGAAGCATCCCTAATGCAGAAACCTGACAGGGGCTCTGAAATCAGAAACTTTTTGAACATCTTAAAAGCTAAAAACAAAACAAAACACAAGTCCAAGTTCTGAAGCACTTCTGGTTTCAATCATCTTGAATGACAGAGAGTCAAGCTATATTTTTCAACAGTTTTGAGCTTTGGTCAAGTCATGTACCTATAGTATGTAGTTAAGGGTAAGTCAAGAAGTGCACAGTTCATATCTCAGGGCAGTAGGATTCTGAGTGGGCATCTCTTTTGATGCTGTTGCAGTGGCTTCTAAATTACAAATTAAAAGTACCCCTACATTTGGCCAAAGGGCTCAGTGATGGCACGAGATCCTTAAAGTCAAGTGTGTTTTTCTTGAGGTAACGGTGCAGATAGACAGAGCCTGACCCTTGATAAGTACTTACTATCTTTTGTTATAGTTACTTTAGGTTCCTGTAATGTATTTGCAGGCATTTTTGGTTTGTTTTCATTCAGTGACTGTGAGGGTTTGTGACAATATTACTCTTTGCTTCTCTCAAGATCAATGTTTGGAGAGCACATCAAGTTTTTATCACAATAATATTGGATAAAAAGTGACCTCAAACTCAGTGTGTTGAAACACTAGGCTTGTGTTTTCTCCACTGAAGGTTGGCTGATCTAGTTGAGTCCACTGATCTAGGCTGGGTTTAGGAACAAACCATTGCTGCAGGGTGGTTCCAGGTCTGCTGCATGTGAATCTCACTCTGGACCAGCAGCCCACCTAAGTCATGTTCTCCTGGTGGAAAAATCACAAAGGTGATGCTCAAGCATATTGCCAGCTTCTGCTGAAGTCACTTTCTGCTAACTTCCTATTGGCCAACCACAAGCTGCAAAAGAGTAGAGAAGCATACCTAAGCCGACAAAGTCACGTGACCAGAGGGTGGCTGTGGGAGGACCACTAGTTCAGTCTCCCTTGTTCCCCATTTGACTTCCCCAGTTTGGTCACTGAAAAAGATTATCTGCAAGGGCTTGCCTTGCACTCCAAGGTTCCGAGGTTCTTGGCACCGACATTAAGATTCTGAGCGCACTCTACCAGAGCAGGCAGGCATGCTACAAATTCCCCTCTGGTCTCCAGGAGCCTTCTCTCTGACAGACAGGAATTTACTCTACTGTAAACCAAAGAGTCCCAATTTAGACAGCCACGATGGATTAGGCAGACAGCATCATTGACCCAGTTCCACTTCGTTAGCCTTTCCAATTAAGGAGGATGTTGCTGAAAGTGAGACCTTACAGATATATAGTCATACCTTGAATCCCCTGCACTGGGCCTCTTTAGGGAGAGTCTTACATTTCTGGTGTGCTCAGAGAGAGAACAAAACTGTTGGCAAGTGAACCCTAAGTGTTAATGACATGGGCCCTTGTGACTACTTTATTCTTTTCCTGGCTGGTTAATTAAGATGCTAAATAGCTTGTTTTATTTTTCTCTTCTAGAAGCTTTTTTCATAAATCTTGGACCCCTAACCATCTACCAGTAGGGATTATGATCTTGGTACACAAAATAAAGAATTGCTGCTTCATGACATAAAGGGACCAGGCTCTTTGTTTTGTCCGTGCAAAAAAAAAAAAAAAAAAAAGTATTGATAGGTATTTCCAAGGAAAGTCTTTTCCAGTGAAGTTGTTCTTAGGGTTTCAGGAAGGCCTCCCTCTCCTTACTTACTGTCCTAGGATTCTGAGCAATGAAGCATAAACTCCAAACAATAGCCAAATAGCTGTGAAGAACAGCTTAATTAATCTGGGCAGGCACCCAACACCCCAGTGCAGCATTTTGCTAGGACTTGGCTTCAAGAGTTAGGCTAATTTTAAGGCTAGATGCTGCTTCTTATTTTCTAATCAAAATCTAGATCGTGCATTCTGAGTGGACAGACAGATGAACAGACAGACATAGAACGGCAGTGACACGAAGAGCAGAGGCTGCACATTCTCACTCATCAGCAGTGTGCACAAGGTCTGACACAAGGCCAGCCACAGAGCAGAAGGACGATCTTACTTCCCGAAGATAAAACTGGACCCTGCCCTGTGCTTGCTTAATAGTGCGAAATGAGAAACTCAAGGTTAACTCTCTCTGCACATGAGTGATGAAGGAGCTGGGTAGAAGGAGCTATTAAGGTTTTCATCCAAAAACGTCCCCCAAAGACTTGTGTGCTCAGAGGTGGGGCCTTTGGAAGGTGATCAGATCACCAGGGCTCGAATGGCATCAGAACAGTAACTCACTGATGGGATCTGAATTTGATGGCCTTATTGGGACATGAAGAAACAGGGAGGATGTAGGTGAGGGGAGTGGATTATGGAGGCATGATCTTCGGGACTTTATCTACTCCCCAGCTCTTCCTCTGCATCTCTCTTACTCTCTCTGCTTCCTGATTGCCAGGAGGTGAGCAGCTTTTCTTCCACACAGCCCGTGAAATGATGTTTTGCCTCATCACAGGCCTAAAATAAAGGAGCCAGCTCACCATGGCTTGAAACCCCTGTGGCAGAGTGAGTCTCCTCCTGGAATTTTTTTTTTCAGGCACTCAGTCACAGCAACAAAAAGCTGACTAGCACAAGGGTATCTCAGAAAGGATGGCTGAGAGAGCAGGCATGGTCACACCCCCGGAAGTGGGCTTCTCTCTGATGACAGGTGCCGCTTCGCCTTTGTGGAGGATGTGGTGAGGGTTACCTTCCCAACTTCTCCAGGTTCCTTTGGGACAAATGTGTGATAAGGGAAGAGAAGTAAAAATGTTCCCCTCAAAATTTTCCTGAGTCCGAGGACTGTTCGATGCTCAAAGAGTGTGAAAATAAGTGAGATGCTCTTTGGCAAATTTTTTTGGAGCAATATCAGGGTAAAAATGTTAGATATCAGACTTACAGCAAGAACTGGGGGAAGATCGTCACTAGCTAGTATGGATCCTCCTTTTAGTAAAAATGAAGAATGAAACTAAAGCACAAATGTACAAGTAAAAGCTTTAATGGAAAAGTTAGCAGGAAGGCAGGCAAAGAATCCAGCCTGAGTAGCTGGATGGGATATGCTGATACAGGGCTTCAGACTGGCCCAACTGCAAATGTGGGAGGCCAGTCTTCAAATGTTGCCTGGGGTCGGGTTGATTATTATCTCTTTCCTGGTTTCACATCTGGAAGCCTGGCTGAGGGCTAGTTCCATTTGCATGAAAGGATTATCTCTGTTAGTGGTGGTTGTCATGTTGTCTCTGCTTTTCCTGGAGTCCAAGAGATGACAGGCTTAGAAGGATGGCCAGAGACTTCTGGGCACAGTTGAACACCCCTACAGGCCTCAAACCATGGGATCCTCAGTCTTGCGGGGAGATGAGATCATGTTAATTTGGGGTTTCTCACCCCTGCCTGGCCAGCTTCTAGATGAATACTCCCTAAATGATCAACATAATGCTGTGTAGAGCTAAGAAGGGGTTTGTCCTGGGATTATAGTAACCAAAAATGCAAAATGAGGGTCAAGCTTCTTCTACTTACAGTTACCCACAGGGCATCTGTAAGCCAGAATGAAGAGATAGTCTTTTTTTTTTTTAGCAAAAATGTTTTTTAGGTCCCTGACTTTCACAGGAGAAAACTGTACTCATTGTATTTTTAATGAGTAGCGGGCAAAGACCAGTACTCTGCCTGTACCCGTCCCTGCGGTAGTCTCTGACCATGTTATGACTGTATCAAGATGAATTCTTCATCATAACAGAAAGGCCAGCACTGGCTGGAGTTCAAAAGGTGCTTGAAGTCACACCTTCTATGCTCCTTGGACTCAGGCATCGTGATGATGATGGTATAAAGCGGGGATCAAGAAAACAAGTGGAAGGACACCTAGAGCAGGAACTTGGAGACTTTGATTCTTTCTCATGCGTGATGTGGGCCAATGGGCTGGTGCTCATTTGCATAGCTCCCATGAAGCCTGTTTTGGAAAATCCGCAAGGATCAAGTTAAGCTTCAAAATGGATTTCTACTTCAGGGGCCTCAAACCATGCCCCTTCTGTGTGAAGGGCAGCCTATAGTTGTTTGGTTGAAATCACGAAACCAAGTCGAGCAGACACAGGGCAAACAAAAATAGCCTGGATGCACTAGATTTCCTGTTTTCCTTGGAAACCACTCTCTGAACAACACTACCTCCCAGCATCCGTGTCTTCCTCCTTCTGTCCCTACCCTGGCCCTTCTCAACCCGAAGACTTCATGCTTAATGACCCGAGACATTACCACCCAGCATTCCCAGTCAATTGGCTTTTGTGGGGAGTGAATGAATAGGATGTTTCTCTGGCCTCCTCTGTCCTGAAAGGATCTTCCTGAGCTCTTTGGAATGTGCTGCTCAACCCAGAAATTAAACTCCTCTTTTTCTTTCTCCTCATTTCTTCCCTCATTCCTCCCAAGATCAGACCCAATCTGATGACCTTGCCCTGGATTTTTGTATTATTTGTTTCTAATCCTCTAAAGGACCCAACTTCTTCATACTGAGGATTTGAACACTTTTGGAGATATTTGGGGACAGTGCGTTTTGGGTTTTTTGCACTTCCTTGTTTTCTGTCCTTTGCCTTAAGGGTGTGCACAATTGGGCTTCTTTGGTCTTTTGGGTGTGGGAAGAAATGGTGGGGGTGGAGAAGGAGCAGACTGGGCCAAGCCATTTTTATTCAGATGTCCTGTAGATGGGGGAGGAAGCAGGGCTGCCTTATATCCCAGAGCTCAAGCACTGAGAAAACCAAGCTTTGTTCAAAGCCACCTCTTGGAAGTTACTTTATCCCCAACACTTATGTGCTTTCTTTCTCTTCTTCCCACAGGATCCACACCCAAGCCCGCTGATCACTCTGGAGACCCAGGTGAGTGCTTCTTCCCATGTCTTTGTCACCAATCTGCACCTTAATGCTCAAGAACCAGCCATCCTGGGATTGTGTATTCTCTGGGCCTCATGGCTCAGAAAAGCTGCCCAGGCATGCTGAGGCAGCCTCCCTCCCCATCTGGGTGTGTGGGTACACATACGTGTGCACACACTCTGCCTGAGTAGATACGCGTGTGTGTGATAGTTTCGGTGTGTGTGTCCACGTACATGAAGATATCACCCACCGAAGGCAAGTATGATCACATGACTTTTGAGTTGCCCTCTCCCCCTCTTTGCTCCTGCCTAGCAACCACAAGGAGGTTCATGCAAAGGGAAAGACGAGATAGAAAGGAGTGATGAAGAGGGAGGATACTGCTCTCACGTGTTTTTGAGCTTGGAGGATGTTGCTCCTTAGCAGTACAGGTGTCAGGACCCAACTGGCAGGACAGGAGGTTGCAGTTTTCTGTCTGCTCCCATAGGTAATGGCATTTCCGTATGGGATGATGGCCCGCAGCACCAGTGAGGATGGCACGGCCCCTACGTCTGCTTTCTGCTCCCATCCCAATATTGCCACAGTGATTGCATCCCTACCTGCAGGGCTGTGATGAGAAACACAGGAAATAATGTCTATAAAAAATGATGTCATTAAAATCAGGGATACACACTAAGTCTTTGTGAGTGTTAATTTTTTTTAACCTTCAGGACTGTTGTCTTTTCTGCTGGAGATCAGAAGGGAATGTATCTGGGGACATCATCTCCTTATCTATGCCTGTGAGTTGATCAGACAGTAAAGAGGCAAGGAAGATATGGTGGTCCCCTTTAGAGTGCCTAAGTGAACACTTTTCAAGTGGTGGATGCACTCAAAGGTGTTTGAGCATTTCAAGGCAGAATTACAGCTCCTCAAAAATTTCTAGAGCATCCTGGCAGAGACCCCTTGCTTTCTTCTTCCTTCACCCTGCTTCTCAGGTTGTTGCTTTTCCCTGGCATCTCTGCTTAGGTCTTCCCAAGGGGACTGAGGTGAAGAACACACCCATCCTCCTGTACAGTGGCCAGAATGTCAGGAAGGCCAGAATTGTGGGCATCGCCAGGCCAAGGGTTCCTTCGTGCTTGTCTGTGCTCTTACTCCCCTTGCACACAAGTAGATAGATACGTCAACCCCAGGCAGAGCCAGGCTCTGGGTCTGGCACAACAGAACAGATCATGTGAGTGTGGGAGGAGGGAAGATCCAGTTTCCTCACCTGCTGGGCCACCCTCTGGTCAGGTTTTGTGCATTGTCCCATTATGCCCACACTCCTTTACCATTGTTTTCTCATGTCAATTTCATTTGTTCTTCAATTTACCTAAAAACACATTTGTCCCTAACTGAACTAACTGTGCTTTAAGAAATACTGTCCTAATCTAATGGTTCTGAGCCAGGGGTGATATTGACCCTGGGATATTTGGCAACATCTGAAGGTAGTATTTGGTCATCTGGCTTGGTTGGAAGGCTTGATTGGTTTCTTCCTAGAGACCAGTGTTGCTGTGTAGTATGCCAAACGTATGGACCCGCCCTCCACAGGAAAGAATTACCCCCGCCCCATGCCTTGGTGTCAAGGTAGAAAACCACTGTCTCGAGCAATCGTATTGGTGAAATCATGGATTTGAAGTGCTAGTTACATTTGGGAAGGGACAAAGCATTAAAATACATGTTAAGGGCCAGGGAGATGGCTCAGTAGGGTAAGCGCTTCCCTGGCAAGCGCAAGGACCTGAGTTCAATCCCCAGTTCTGAAAAATAAAATAAAATAAAATACATGTTAAGCTGTGGAAATGTTCCTCTGGGTACCCCCTCAAGTCATCTAAATGTATCCCCAGAGGTTTGGGTGCTGCACTTTGGAAAATGTTTGTCTCCACCCCTTACCCTGTTCTACTTACCCAAAGGATCATGAGAGAACTCTCAGGGTGCATTTGTAAGTGGGTGCTCTTAACGTCTTCCTCAACATTCCCCAGAAGATGGATTAGAAAACCTAGGGGCAAGCAGTCTGTGTCCAGAACCTGGGAACCAAGTTTCGTCCCCAGGATGGAGCAGCTACCCCAGGCTGGCACTGTCCCTGACCTTCTCGTATCCTTCACTCTGGATAAGCCCTGCCAGTCCTTTCAAACCTCCATGGGAAAAAGCAGTCACATGCCCAGGGCTTTGGCCAGCACGCTGGAAGGGGGAAAGCTTGCCCTGTTCACTGACTACCCCTTGAGCTCCATCTGTTGGCCCGTGTGACCTGGGCCTCCACCCGCAGCCAGCGGCAGCACAGGCACACTTCCTGCATCTGTGCCAGGCCTTTGGGGAAATGACTCAATTTGTCTCCCAACAATGATCCCTAGTTCCCATCTGGCTTCTGGTCTTTGGGGAGCTGTGGGGTATTGTCTTTCCTTGATTCTGATTTCCCACACCAATGGGAGGCTGGAACGCAACCAAAGTGCAAATGTCCTTTGTGTGACTATCAGCAAAACCCCGTGGCCAGATCTGACTTTGGCCTGGGCCTTCCTTAGCTTGCTGTGGGGTGACCAGTGGGATCCTGCTCAGTTGCCTGCAGGCAACTCAGACAAGAAGGGCAACGAAAGGTTTTCTGTCAGAAAGTGGTGGCCTAAGGCCTGGCCAAATAGCTCAGTGGATCAAAGTGCCTGCAAGCTGGCATAGAGGCCGGGAGTTCAATCCCCGGGCCTGCCATGCAGGCCCCGCCCCCAGGGCATACTGAGAGGAAATTGAGACTGGGTGTGGTGGTAGGTACCTATAATCCCAGTTCTTGGGAGGCTGTAAACAGGCGGATCACTAGTCCCATCTAGTAGTAAGACCTGAACACCTTGTAGACCCTTCCCTAAAAATACAAAAAAAAAAAAAAGAAAAGAAAAAAGAAAAAGTAAAAGAAAGTGGTATCCCAAACTGTTAACCATACTTCACAAGCAATGTGGCAGATATGGCCAAGCTTGGAAGAACCCACACTGCGGAGGTGACAGGGCAGGTGAACTCAGAGCATTGGATCAGGTCCCACTGCCTTCCCCAGGACCTTGTGCTTCTCAGGACGACATTGCTGATCTGCCCTGAGCCTGGGGGTCACAGGTGGACTTGCCCACTGGATGCCACTGAGACCTATGTCCTAGCATCGTACCTCCGCTCATTTGGCCCATCCCAGTGGCTCCCGGTCTCCCAGGGCCCATTCTTCCTGGCACCAGCTTGCCCTGGCATTAACTGTGTTGCTCCTCACCCACCAGTTGGTTAATTTGCCTCTGTGCAGCTGCTGTGAGTTGGGGGAGGCGGATTGGTTGGCTGCTGAGGACTTTCCTGCTGCTCTCTGCCTTCAGCATGGGGGAGCTCTGCATCTGTTGGTGTCTGCAGGACTCTCTGCTAAATGGCCAGATTAATAGAACAAGGAAGCAGAGCAAGATTTATAGCTCTGGCAGCAGCCTTCCCCACAGCAGGCCACCCCTGGGGATGTACTGAGGAAGCCCCGACTCACAGTGGGGAGTCGTCTTTGGTTTCCAGATGATGTTTACCCAGGAAGGAGGTGACCACAAGTGAAAAAAAAAAAAGGTGAAGAAAACTTCAAAGTTTGAAGAGTGTGACTTTACTTGGTGTTATCATTATCCTCACCCTATCATTTCTCATTCACCAAAAATTGGCTTTCCCCATTGAATTCTCAGATGCCCCAATCACATAGGTGTTCTTATGGTACTCAGTTGCCTAATGAGGAACCTAAGGATGTAAAGGTTGTGTAACTTGCCCATTGTAACACAGGAGGCATACAGCATTGGCAGGTATAAAACTTAGAGCCTTGTGACGTCAAATCTCTCTTCATGACCTCTATTTTTATTTCCCAGAAGCTAAAACTGCCTTGAGTTGTAGAGAAATGTGTTAATGCTCAGGTAAGCCTAGAAATTTGCAACTCAAGCCCCATAGACAGACAAACAAAGAGACCAACAGAAGAATGGACACACAGATGGGTGGGTGGGTGGGTGGGTGGATGGATGGATGATGGATGGATGGATGGATGGATGGATGGACAGAGGCTTGAGGGTAAAATGGCTTCTGCAGCAGGCTAAGTAGAACATTTATTTTAGGCCAACAAATAATGAAATATCTCTGTGCATATCAACAGTGTTTTGATACATTTGAATGCTTGTTTGATTTGCTTTTTCAATGAGCCTCCAGAGCGTTTGTCATTTCTGAATGCACTCCAATTGGCATGGCCTCTTGTCATTTAATTTTAGCTCCTCTGCCCCACCCCTAGCCAACAGCTTCTCTGTCAATTAGTTAATGGCTTCTGCTCAAACGTTCAGATACCTGGGGAGTTGTAATAAAGGAGCTCTTTTGTAGAGTAAAGATTTGTCAATCTGGCTATTTGTGAAGTGGGCCCCCCTTGGAAGGGAATAGACCTTGATCTACGTTGAGATCCCTCTCAGGACCAGAAGATCAAGGGCATCAGGAGGAGAGCTGACTGCTCAGTTTTCAAAACTAACCAGGTACTTGAATTCCTTTGATCAACTAGCTAGGGGGAGAGGAGCGAGCACCACGCACATTACTTAAAGATGTTGTTGGAGCCCTGAGGATTGGCAACAAAGCTGGCGTGGAAAATGAGCAGTGAATGTAAAAGACAATGCTTTACACAGTGTGTCTATGCAAATCCATTTATTGCTCTGCTTATTGAAATGGACAGCTTTTGGGCCATGCAGAAACCAGGTGAGGTGACGCTGGATGCTAGGGTACAGCAGTGCACAAGGCAGGAAGGCTCCTGCCTATGAGGCATCCCTTCCAGTTAGAGGAATCAGATGGGGAATGCACAGGTGATTATATCTCTTATTTCAGGCAGCCAACAGTGAATGGAAAGAAGACAGGCATGTTTGTGAGAGTGGGAAGGGTAGGAGAGGTTCCTTCAGCAAACTCTCTGGAGCTCAGTAGGAGGATCTGAACTGGCAATTTACACACTAACGTGTTAACCCTGCTAAGGCATGGCAAGATTAGTGTTCTGGAGT